CAACACTAGGCCGAGTTAAAGGTCAGATCTATGGCGAGGCGAGCCCACAGTTAGAACGCATGTTGTTTTCAAAGTGTTTCAGCTTTTTAACATGTCTAATTGAATAAATGCAAAATGGGAATGTTTAATGCCGGTCTGTGAAACATTTCTGGCAAAACAATGCCATCGCCATGGAGACAAACAGATGGCAGATCCCATAGCATAAAAAGTTACACAGTGTTCTTTTACATTTCGCTTGCCCATAGTTATGGAGATGTATTATGACATGCTGGTAGTTTCACATTCTTAGTTAGTTTTCAGTTTTTCTTGATACTCACTTTATCAATGAAAGTTGCGAATCGATTGTTGAGCGTCTTGATCTGCTCCTTCTCCTGGGTGCGGACCGCTTGAATGGTGGGGTCAATCTCCAGGTTGAGGGGCGCCAGGAGGCTCTTGTTGACCGTGACCGCTGTGATGGGTGCCGCGTGCATTTCGTGCATCATACCCCCTCCCATACCTCCCCCCATCTCCCCCCCATAGCCCACATAACCATACTCCACAGCCCCTCCACCTGCAGCTCCCTTACCCCCCGCGACGTAACCCCCGACTACCTTAAACCCACCCACACCTGCTGCGGAGCCCATGCCACCCCCATACGAGCTCCTGACTGTGTAGCTTTGCCTGGGGACCACTCTGCTGGCACCGCCTCCATAGCCGGAGAATGAGCGGCTGCTAAAGCTCTGGGAGGGGCCCCTGGATGAAGCGCGCGTGGAGAAGGTCGTGCTCTTCACAGCTTGGACAGACATGTTTCCAGTGGAGAGAGACAGAGCAGAGAAGCTGGATCCTGGACACAACAGGCAGGCTGCTGGAACCTCCCTGGAACACACCAGCTTTTATAATGACAAGGGAGAGGCTGAGCTGCACTGTGATTGGCTGTGGCTGCAGGGGGGCTTGGTTAGACCCTGCCCACTTTCACAGAGGGGTTGGGGTCGATGGTGTGAGGATGAAGGAGGAAAATGCGTTGAGTTACAGATTTACTTGACTTTGTGAAAGAGGGAGGACTGTGATTACATAACAGAGCTGCACAATGTGCCAGTTCCACTAGGACATACACACACATATGCATTGTACTGTACTGCTGCAGGACTACACGCAGTACTTTTATCTGTATTGATACTACTACTTTACTACTACTACTAACACTAATAATACTAATAGCACTACTTCTGTTAGCACTGCTTTGATTGTACAATTTCTGTTACAATCACTTTGACTAATATTATTTCTATTGTGACTGCTACAAAAGTGACTACTGCTATTATATTGACTTTTTGTTTTGTTTGAATACAACTTGAACTCTACTGCAACTGTTGGTGTCAGAGCACCATAAAGCTTGTTCTTATCACTACTGTCACCACTAATACTTCTGCGACTCCAGTATGTAATACATATTTCCTGCTACTGCTAATACTTTAGCTGCGAGCACTTCCTTCATACAGAGCGTACTACAGGGAGTGTGCTTATATAAGACATGTATGTGCCAGTACCTAAAACATTAAAGTGGATAGTGCTGTCTGCCACTGAATGGACGTGTTCCAAACTGCAGCCTGCTCAGTGCGTCTCCACAGCACCATGACTCTTACTCAGTGTTTCCTTGTGTTGACCGTATCCACACACAGATCCATCACCCCATTGTTAAAGGGACCAAACTGGCACAGAGCACCTCAACAGTGGAAAGACACTGCCTACCCCTGGTCCCTAACTGTAGCTTAGAGTTTTGTACAAAATGTTCTTTTCCTATGAATTTTCAAGTTTTTGTTCTATAAGTTTTTAAGTCAGTGAGTGAGCAGTGAATTAGAAGTAGAAACACGAGACATGAGCCTCTGAAGTCTGGTCTGAGGCATCCAACAAACTGCATGAATATTATTATCAGACGTGCAGTTAGTCATAACTGCAAAAGTTGTTATCATTTGTGTGTGGTGAAACTGCTCAGAAACTTTATTTTCAGCATTTCTTTTTTTTTCTTTTTTTTTACCTGGTACCAGTAGTACCACACTGGCACTTTGAAGCAGTACTTCGTCTAAATGTCGAATGTCAAAATGTTCAATCCATTTCTCAGACTGGGTGTGTCCAGGAGGAGCCCATTTTCTACAACCCTGCAGAAATGATACAATATGTTAAACTTGTAGGTAACATCTACCAGATATGCCCAGAGTAAAGCTGCCATACCTGATTTTCAAAAGGTGAGAAATAAAGTGTGCCATTAAATGGCCCCTTGTAGAGGTCTGCGCAGGACAGAATTTTCAGTCCCGCTCCTGCCTGCTCCTGCACTGTGCAGCCCCACTCCTGCAAAGAATTGTAATTTTCAGTCCTGCTTCCGCCCGCATCTGCGATATTTTGTCCTGTTACCACCTGCAAGTCCAGCAGTATATGAACCTTAAGCTCTATCAAACAAGGAGAACTGAAAAGAATTGGGCTGCGTATGGGAGGAGGCGCAGTGGGTGGTCCAGAGGCATAATTAAGACCTGGCTAAATCCTGTTTTAGTCCTGGTTTTAGACCTGGTTTAGTCCTGGTTTAGTTCTGGTTTAGTTCTGGTTTAGTGACGCAGCCCGCGCGGCGTACAGGAGGAGGGACTGTCCGCACGACGTACGGGACGGGTAGGACGGTCTGTGCGGCGTACAGGATGAGGGGACTGCAGTTTATCATCCCACCTGCTCGCTCCAGTGTTGTGTAGTCCCACTCCCGCCCACGCCTGCAGTGAGCTTTCAAAATGCATCCCGCGGCCACAGGAGGCAGGGCTTTAGTCCCTTGCTCACACAAACCTCTTGGCACATCACTGTTGTTTACATGCATTTGAGCACCAGCTCAACTTTAGAACATTCTTTTCACACAGAAAAGTGAGTCAGGGTAGACCGTCCCTGCACAGCCAATCTAATGTCATCCGAAAGCTTCATATAGTGACTTACAGGGCTCATGCTTCACTTTGCTGTAAATAAACTGTTTTCTAATTAGATGCAGACAGAGCGTCAAACTGTGACTGTTGTCACAAAGTTATGTTTTACTTTACACTTTCACAGATTTGACTCATCTTTGTGAAAAAATGTGTACTTCAGCTGAAAGAAGAGTCACTATGTGATTGAGTGAAGACGCCCGCTGCATCAGAACGCTTCACTGGACTTTTACAGAACACTGTTGGCCTCAAGGCGGTCATCAAACTCCACCCATCACAAAGATCCACCAACATGACCTCTGACCTCACCCTAACCTCAGGCCAAACTAATAACCAAACTCATTAACTCATTTTATTTATAAAACAATGTGTCAGTGAATTGTCATACCCCACAATATGAGCTCCACACCTTTAGAGGGAGTGTTTAAACTGCACACAAAGTCGGACCCTGTTCATAATGAACGCAGGTTATGATTTTCTGGAGCTCTGTGGTTTACTGCATTCTCACAGATGTGACATATTACACACAAGTTTAGTCTGTGCGCACACACACAACACACACACACACACACACACACACCATGCACATGCATTTTGTACAACAGTGCTAAAAACATTAATCTAAAACCAAGCATGACATTTTGGATTCATAGTTATGAAGATTTCTGCAAGTTCTGTCTAATTGTGAACACAGTGTACTTTTATTTGACCAGTATTACATGATACATTATGTACAATATATAGTAACATACAGAGAGAAAGGGAGTGGGCTGAAACAATTATGCTTATGAATGAATGAATAAATGAATGAATACCTCGTGAGGGACATTTCATACACTGGGGTTCTGAGCTGCTGCATCTCCAGATCTTGAGCTCAGCTTGGTTTGGTCTGGAGCATTTCACTGGAGATTGTTTGACCCTTTGAGCTTAGTATTCCTACAAGGAAAGTGATATTTGTATCTGATCGAAACAAAACAGTACAACAGATTAGATTTATGCGACAGCGACTTACCCAACCCCAGATCACTTCATGTACAGTAACATGTTCAAAAGCCTTCTGTACATAACCAAACTTGACTCAGAGCCAATATTTTGTCACTGCTAGAAAAATGTACTAATCACTTAAAATACTTACGAAGTTTTGAAGTTCCGAAAGTACATGTCATACCTCAAGTCAAGAAGCCATCACAGAGTAACACATGACCCCCTATGGAGCAGTGAATATACATGTACCCATACTGTACTTGTACTCACACACATACTGTACTTGTACTCACACATGCATGTACTCATGCACATACATGTACTCACACACATACTGTACATGTACTCACACATGCATGTACTCATGCACATACATGTACTCACACACATACTGTACATGTACTCACACATGCATGTACTCATGCACATACATGTACTCACATACATGTACTCACATACTGTACATGTACTCACACATGCATGTACTCATGCACATACATGTACTGCACATACATGTACTCACATACATGTACTCACATACATGTACTCACGCACATGCATGTTCACACACACATACATGCACACACACATGTACACACACATGTACTCAGGCACATACATGTACTCATGTACTCACACATGCATGTACTCATGCACATACATGTACTCATGCACATACATGTACTCACACACATACTGTACATGTACTCACACATGCATGTACTCATGCACATACATGTACTCACATACATGTACTCACATACATGTACTCACGCACATGCATGTTTACACACACATACATGCACACACATGTACTCATGCACATACATGTACTCACGCACACAAATGTACACACACATACATGTACACACACATGTACTCAGGCACATACATGTACTCATGCACATATATGTACAATGCACACAAATGTACACACACATACATGTACTCATGCACATAAATGTACACACATACATGTACTCATGCACATAAATGTACACACACACATACATGTACTCATGCACATACATGTGCACATACACATACATGTACTCATGCACATACATGTGCACATACACATACATGTACTCATGCACATACATGTGCACATACACATACATGTACTCATGCACATATATGTGCACTGTACATGCACAGACACATGCATGTACACAAACTTGCATGTACACATAGATGTACACAAAAATACATGTACTCACGCATACATGTACTCAGTGTGTACTCTGCATGTACTCTTATTCACATTATTGATGGACATTCCTGCACTATCAGCCGCGAAGAGCAAACAAACGGTGTCTTTTCTGTTAATCTGCCCCTGCCCCGCCCTGTACTCCTACACAAACACTACTACAATACTGCACTCCTACAGAAACACTACAATACTACTGCGTGGGACAGATATAGGGCCTATTGTAAGATAGAGCATATAGGGATTAAAGATCCTTATCATTTCATAACACTCTCAAATAGTGACCCACCCTCCATAATAATATGTGGAAAATGTGATGTATTTGTTGGTTTGTGAACAGAGCAGTTAGTGTTTGCTCAAGTGTGCCCTAGACCCCCATGTCCCTCCTCCCCCTCCTCTCTCACCAAACCACTGTTTCCATATACAGAGAGGGAAGAAGTTCTCTAAACCAGCTCTGAGCTCACACTCTGAGTCCAGGTAATACTGTGGAATTATCTCAGGCCTGGTGTCTGATTTGTGTGCAGAGGAGAGCTGAGTGGTAGTTGGAGAGGCTCAAGTGTGTCTGTGTCTGTCCCAGGGCTGTGCTGCAAAAGTAGCTCACTGGGGACCATGAGAAATAAAACAAATTGTAAAGAGGGCACATAGGAAAGCTGATACTATTCTTGTAATGCCATCAACATTCATTGAGGGGTTATAGCTAACAGGAGGCACCGCTGAAGCTCTGAAGCTCTGTTACTCAAGTTAAACTTGACAGTGTTTCAGTCAGTCACACGGTTTTGCTAAAAATCAAACACCTAAACAAGACCATCCTCTCTCCGACTGATCCAGGCTCCTGAAAATCTGTTGTTTAAATCCATTTAGTATTTTCCTTTATCCTTTCGTACTGCATTGACTTGTTGCCAAACCCTACACAGCGATGTCACTGGTTTAGGCTTTACCCTAAGACTATTCTTTATACCACTGTGGCAACTCAGGTAACTAATAATACTTCAGTGAACAGAGCAGTTACTTCAGCTTATTACTACTCTTGTGGTACGCGTATTATTGCCATCAAATAGTTGTAAGAAAATAGTTGTGAATTGCAATAGTAGGCTTCTTTTTGGTGTTGTTACGATAATAAAATTTCAAACTTTATTTTGATATTATGAAACAGACTCTGATTGCAATACCACAATATTAATTAAAACACTCTTTCTTTAGACAACAGAATGTGGTATTCAACATCAAATATATATTTGTGACTCTTGAAAGTCAAAAAACAGGTCCTCTCTAAAACACAGCACTTTGTAGAAAAATATTTTTAAAATATCATAATTGGCTATAGTGTATACTGCATACTGAACCTATTTATTTAAAAAAAATATTACTGATGTTTTTGGAAGATTTTCACATAAATGTAAATGAAAAATTTCAAGTCAATGCAACTTTTTGTTTCCTTTGCACAGGTTCAGCAAAACCGGCAGTTTTGTCAACTCTGTCAGTTGTGTGAAGAATCCCTCAGTCGTCCAGGTAGAATCCACAGCAAGGAGAAATTTCAGTTTGTCGACTAGACAAAAATTAGCTTGGTTGAAGACATTTCTCAGCTCATCCAAGCTGCTTCTTCAGTTCTGGTCAGACGCTGGTGGACACTTCCTTTTATCTGTCTGCAGGGAGGAGCTAACTACACTGAAACTAACACACACACTTGTTTACAGTTTCTGTTTGTTAGTTCGGCCTATTGACCTGTACAGGGTGTGGGGTCTAATTAGCATAATAAGTGAGGTACAGATTTTAGCCAGAGAAAAGAATTGGTTTGAGGGGGGAGTGAAAGAAGCCATTTTTGTTAAAAAAGAGAATCCTTCTCTAAACAGAAATGGAGACTCAGACAACATCTGTCTCCTATTTACAACTCCATCCTCAAACCTAAATCAAAACAAACAAGAGAACGACAGGTGTATCCAGGTCAGGTCCAGAGGTGTGGAAGCTCCATTATGGCCATTAATTTTTCTGCTAATGAGCTGCGATGACGTCTTCAACCAAATTAACTTTTGTCCAGTCAACAAACTGAATTTTCTGCTCACCATAACTCTGTCAGTTGTCAACTCAGATTTCAGTTTTGACAGAGTTGTCCAGTCTCTGACGGAGTTGACAAATCCAGCTGGTCTCTTTATGTGCGAATAACATATTATTTGTGAAGTGACAAAAGGGTTAAAGTACCATTCAGTTTAAGTTAGATATTAATAACAGAGCAGAGATATTATATACTTAAATACAGCCTAAATTATATCATTTATAATGATGAGTTGAATATGTGATGGAGTTGACAATTGATTAACATAGTAAATAATTAAATGTTTCATCCCCAGTTTTCTTATCAAAAATGTATCATAATTTGTTTTTGTTTTTTTTGTTTTTTTTTACATTTTTCACCTCTTGAAGTTGGCCTGACAGCTGACACTTATTTTATGAACCTGCTACAGCCCAATCATGTTGTGACACAAGTGTTTCAAAGGATCTAATTGTCAAGTAAAATATGTAAAAATCACTGATATCACTGATACTGAGAATAAAAAACTCATGGAGGGGCCGAAGAGAGGGACAAAAAGGAGATGGAAACAGTGGAAAGGTAGAGGAGGATAACAGATGGATGCAGATTGAGAGACAGGGGGTCGAGGAGGAGGAGAGTGGACCTTCATCTCCTATAATGAGTTTGGTGGTAGGATCTGTTTATACCTGAATTCAGTTATATTTGTTCAGTTTTCAGATTCCACACATTTTGTCAACTCCATCAGATCGGTGCATTTGGAGGGTGTTTTTGTCCAGTTTTAAAGAAACTTGAATTTGGCCATTCAGTTTGGATTAAGTGGTAATGGATATTAATATATGTAACCTAATGTGTGTGTATTACTTACAAAAATGACTTTTGTAACATTAAAATACAAAAAAATTTAGACATTATGAAATTCAAATGTTCATTGAAGTGTAAAACTATTTTTTATGTTTCCAGATATACTTTACTTGGATACAGTGATAAATAATGAATGTTGTAATAAAGGTTAAAAGTTCAAATTGTAGTTGGATTGAAATAAATCTAATTTGATGTGTTTTTGATGTGTGTCTGATGGAGTTGACAGTAATGAGGTGCTCAGAGAATGTCAGAGGAAGAGGTGCTGGAGGGACCATCATGGCAGGACAAGCCCCTAGGGGCGAACTACCGGAACAGAACTGAAGTGGCTGATATCAAGAAATCCTACCAATGGTTTGAGAGGGCTGGTCTGAAGGACACACAGAGGCTCATCCTGGCTGGTCAGGAACAGGACCTGAGCACTCGAGCGATAGAGGCCCAGATCTACCACACCAGACAAGACCCACGGTGTAGACTGTGCAAAGAGGCTCCTGAGACAGTCCAGCACATAACTGCAGGGTGTAAGATGCTGCAGGGAAAGCAAACATGGAGCGACATAACCAAGTGGTGGGCATAGTGTACAGAAACATCTGTGCAGAGTACGGGCTCGAGACACCAGGACCAAGGTGAGAAACACCTCCAAAGGTTGTGGAGAACGACTCAGCCAAGATCCTGTGGGACTTACAGATACAGACTGACAGAATGGTGATGGACCAACCAGACATAGTGTTGGTGGATAAGAAACAGAGCAGAGCTGTGGTGGTGGACATCACAATACCAAGACATGGTAATATCAGGAGAAAGGAACATGAGAAACTAGAGAAATACCAGGGGCTCAAGGAGGAGCTGGAGAGAGCCTGGAAAGTGAACGCATCAGTGGTGTCTGTGGTAATTGCAGCACTAGGGGCTGTAACCCTCAAACTGGAAGAGGCTACAGCAGATACCAGGAAAAACAATGGACATCTCAGTCCAGAAAAGTGGGAACAGCAAACATACTGTATATATATATATATATATATATATATATATATATATATATATATATATATATATATATATATATATATATATATATATATATATATATATATATATTATATATAAAAAAAGTGTTTCTCACCTTCCACGGTGGTTGGTCTCTCACCCTCATTCAGCTCGGGTCCTCTACCAGAGGCCTGGGAGCCTGAGAGTTCTGCGCAGTATATGTATATACATACACACACATCATTCTAAAGCTGTTCTGTCCTGTTAATGTGACTTTTTTCAGTATTGAATTTCAATACATTTGACAACCTTCTATTTCTGTTTCCTCTACAATAT